AATGACTACATCAATTCCGCGGCGCGGTGTATGCTTTACGCGGTATCGCAGCTGCTGTTCCGATGTTGACTGCCCGTAATTGGAGCATTTCGGCGGACCCACCGAAACGGGGCGATTAATTTCGGGACAAATATATTTATTTGTCGCGTTTGAGAGATTTTCTGTCAGCACTTACGTTGCCCAGCAATGTTGAAGTTCTTTTGAAAAATAATAATATACACGTATATTATATTATATTGATATTATATTATATTGATATTATATTGATATTATATTGATACTAAATTGATATATTATATTGATATTATATATATTGATATTATATTATATTAATAATACATTGATATTATATGAATATTATATTGATATTATATTGATATTATATTAGTAAATATATACTAATATACTAATATAATAATATACTATTAGTATATTATTATATTATCAGTATATTATACTAATATACTGATAGTAATGTCTCTTCAATTGACGCTCAGATTGTCCGCAAAAATGGACAATTTGGGGAGGAGAAATACAATTGTTCGAGCCTTGCGGCTCGTTTTTATAATTGTCGAAAACCGGTAACTATAAAAACGAGTCGCGAGGCTCGAATTCGCAAGGCTCCGCTTCCACGATTGTCCATTGTAACGTCTCCCTAATTGACGCTCAGATTGTCCAGAAAAATGGACAATTTGGGAAGTGGAGATACCGTACACCGCTCGCGGCACGAGTTCGGAATTGTTTTCGAAGAGTCGCGGACAAAGATCTCTCGAAAGATTCCGGCGCTGGTCCAAGAGCCGGTCCTCGAGAGAGCAGGTCCCCTCGTAGACACGAGGGGTGGATTCAGATTTCCGATATTATTTACTTTGCACCCCCGCACCGCCCAGCGCGCGCGCGCAGGACAAACACAGGGAGCGGCTCTCCCTAAAGACCAATTCACCTATAATAAACCCGGCCGATTACCGGGTGAAATTACTTTTCCTCAAAGATCTCCCGGCCGCCGTTTGATGTCGTCGCGGCGGCAATCATCGCGAAATTTCCAGCGGAACTCGATGTAATCACGAGTTGCCCGGAAAAGTTCGACGGGAGCTCGTGAAATTGGAGGCGCCCCGCGACTTGTCGCCCCGTGTCGCGTCGCGTTCTGTTTTTCGGCGGTGTCTTCGTGTTACCGTAACGGGAACGGCTAGACTTCGAAACGCAAAGGGAGTGCCGTGAACAGCAAAAATCAGTGATTCGGAAAATGAGAGATCGAGCGGCCCGAGTCCGGCCCGCGAACGATGGAAACACGCTGGAAATTGGTGGCGCAACGTTGAAATCATTTTCATCGCGCAGCGTGCGATTTCCCGGACCGTTACGCAGCTCGCTGTCAAAGGGTTAAGGAAAGACGGTATCGAAATTTGACGCGGGTAGCCGTGAATTTTCGGGTCCGTCCGGGCAAAACGCCGGAAATATTATCAAAGGCGCGGGGAGAGCTCGAGGACGCGAGCCGGAGAAATTCGAGGGGGATTTTTCGCGAGCGCGGCGCGGCGAGGCTCTTTCATCGTGTCCGGGGCTCTTTTAGAATTATACCGGCACAAAAGCGGACACGGGAAAGAGGGGGGCACGAGGAGAAAATAAACCGTAGAACTGGGAATGCGGCCGGCCGGGCGAACCCCGGGATTTTGAAAAGGACGACGGGACGTGCCGGGCGTGCGAAGGAGAATCCGCCGACGCCGACAGGGAAACACCCGGGAATCCGGTGCGGGAAAAGATTTCAGGTGGTTCGCCTATCAAATTTTATCGGGCCGGCTCCTCCTCGCGCCACGGAACAAAAGCTCCGGGTTTTGCGACCGAGAGAGCGCCGCGCGCCGCTGTGTAAACGATATGTAAACTCGCGAGAAAGAAGGGTTGCCTCCGGAAGACGGTTCGTGGGGAGGAAACAACGGCCCCGAGATGCGATAAAAGAACGATTACTCGGGGACGAAATGGGCTCGCAGACGACGGAGGAGGCNTTATATTGATATTATATTGATATTATATTGATACTAAATTGATATATTATATTGATATTATATATATTGATATTATATTATATTAATAATACATTGATATTATATGAATATTATATTGATATTATATTGATATTATATTAGTAAATATATACTAATATACTAATATAATAATATACTATTAGTATATTATTATATTATCAGTATATTATACTAATATACTGATAGTAATGTCTCTTCAATTGACGCTCAGATTGTCCGCAAAAATGGACAATTTGGGGAGGAGAAATACAATTGTTCGAGCCTTGCGGCTCGTTTTTATAATTGTCGAAAACCGGTAACTATAAAAACGAGTCGCGAGGCTCGAATTCGCAAGGCTCCGCTTCCACGATTGTCCATTGTAACGTCTCCCTAATTGACGCTCAGATTGTCCAGAAAAATGGACAATTTGGGAAGTGGAGATACCGTACACCGCTCGCGGCACGAGTTCGGAATTGTTTTCGAAGAGTCGCGGACAAAGATCTCTCGAAAGATTCCGGCGCTGGTCCAAGAGCCGGTCCTCGAGAGAGCAGGTCCCCTCGTAGACACGAGGGGTGGATTCAGATTTCCGATATTATTTACTTTGCACCCCCGCACCGCCCAGCGCGCGCGCGCAGGACAAACACAGGGAGCGGCTCTCCCTAAAGACCAATTCACCTATAATAAACCCGGCCGATTACCGGGTGAAATTACTTTTCCTCAAAGATCTCCCGGCCGCCGTTTGATGTCGTCGCGGCGGCAATCATCGCGAAATTTCCAGCGGAACTCGATGTAATCACGAGTTGCCCGGAAAAGTTCGACGGGAGCTCGTGAAATTGGAGGCGCCCCGCGACTTGTCGCCCCGTGTCGCGTCGCGTTCTGTTTTTCGGCGGTGTCTTCGTGTTACCGTAACGGGAACGGCTAGACTTCGAAACGCAAAGGGAGTGCCGTGAACAGCAAAAATCAGTGATTCGGAAAATGAGAGATCGAGCGGCCCGAGTCCGGCCCGCGAACGATGGAAACACGCTGGAAATTGGTGGCGCAACGTTGAAATCATTTTCATCGCGCAGCGTGCGATTTCCCGGACCGTTACGCAGCTCGCTGTCAAAGGGTTAAGGAAAGACGGTATCGAAATTTGACGCGGGTAGCCGTGAATTTTCGGGTCCGTCCGGGCAAAACGCCGGAAATATTATCAAAGGCGCGGGGAGAGCTCGAGGACGCGAGCCGGAGAAATTCGAGGGGGATTTTTCGCGAGCGCGGCGCGGCGAGGCTCTTTCATCGTGTCCGGGGCTCTTTTAGAATTATACCGGCACAAAAGCGGACACGGGAAAGAGGGGGGCACGAGGAGAAAATAAACCGTAGAACTGGGAATGCGGCCGGCCGGGCGAACCCCGGGATTTTGAAAAGGACGACGGGACGTGCCGGGCGTGCGAAGGAGAATCCGCCGACGCCGACAGGGAAACACCCGGGAATCCGGTGCGGGAAAAGATTTCAGGTGGTTCGCCTATCAAATTTTATCGGGCCGGCTCCTCCTCGCGCCACGGAACAAAAGCTCCGGGTTTTGCGACCGAGAGAGCGCCGCGCGCCGCTGTGTAAACGATATGTAAACTCGCGAGAAAGAAGGGTTGCCTCCGGAAGACGGTTCGTGGGGAGGAAACAACGGCCCCGAGATGCGATAAAAGAACGATTACTCGGGGACGAAATGGGCTCGCAGACGACGGAGGAGGCCGCGCGAGCCGAGACTCGGTAAAGGGAGAGCCCGCGTTGCAAATAGTTACGGCAAACTTGGGGGGATGCGGAAGATTATGGGGTCGGGTACCGGTCGCTCTGTATGGGCTTCGGGAACCGTGTTAAACTGATACCGGAATGGACCAAGTTTTCACCCAGATAAAAGTTTCATGGAACGATCAAGGTCGGCCCAAGGTCGGCCGGGATTTTCCCCGCGAATTTTCTCTCGGGGCTATTTTCGTGCTAACGACCGATATTATTGTTTCTTTTTCTGTTTTTGCACAAGTTCCGAAACCCTGCATCGTTATTCACCTTCTTGCAAGTCGTATCAACCCTACCGCAGGTTTTGTTCATCCGTTTGCGAATGAATTTCACCTTTTCGCGTGTGAAATTAATCCTTTCACGGATCAAAGTTGACCGGCTTTTGTTCAGTTTGTAAGATACGAATTTATATATTTATTTGTGAAATAGTACTTGCACTGCGAGTAATTGATGTTTGTGAATCTGCAATAATTATTTACGAAATGTTATTTAACGATGAATGAAATATACAAATAATTACGAACGAGTGAACCAAATTTTTGAAGGGTGAATTTCACTTTGTAAAAGAATGCGAATAAAACTTGCAGAAGGATTAAACAGGACGGTTAGAGGCTATAGAACTGTTCAGAAGACTCTCTGGCATCTATATTATGCAAGAAAAAGTTCATTTATTATTATATTTATATACAAATAACGAAAACAGATAATTCTTGCCGCGTTCCCCGTAAGATCCAATGTAAACTTCGGCACGAATCATCTGTTCCTTAAAACATAAAAATAGCGCCACTGAGTGCAGTGGCAAAACGCTCAAACTGTTGGCCAAAATCGACTGTCGGTAATTTTGGCTACCAGTTTCAGCGTTTTGCCGCTACGTTTAGTGGCGCCATTTGTATATTCTAAGACACAGATGATCCTTACCGGCAGCAAAATTACCAATAGTCGATTTTGGCCAACAGTTTCAGCGTTTTGTCACTGCGTTCAGTGGCGCTATTTTTATATTTTAAGAAACAGATGATTCTTATCGGATTATACATTGCATCTTATGGCAAAGCAGCAAGAATTATGTGTTTCTGTTATTTTCGATAATAAATAGTTTGTCTTGCATGATATAGATGCAGAAAAAATTATATTAAAATAATTCCACCAAAAATATAAAAATAGCTAACTTAATATTTCCTCTGTTCATTTTACGTGTTTTATTAATAACTATTTATCATTTTACAGTCCCCATTGGTCAAACATCCAGCGATGATAGATTCTCTCCGGACATGTCTGGTGGTAGCGATTTTCTCGACAGGTAAATATAAAAATTCGTAACATATATCATTAGCTAATGTGTGTTATATATAAATACAACAAAATAACCGCCATAAATGACAAGATAATATTTAATTCTTGATTTCGCCGCCAAAAGCCGTGGCCGCGATAAGCGTCAGTTTACAAATGGACGCCGGGTGTGGTGTCAAATGACACGGGCTTTCTGTTAAAATTAAATGTTTTGATAGATTATTTATAATAATGAAGCTACTTTTGTACCTAGTATTGTTGCAAAATACATGTATTTTTGTACGTGCCACAAATAGTGTCAAAAATGTTACTAATATTACAGAGACAAGGTGACAATCCATTGTTATAAACACAGTGAGATTATGAGAAAATATCCTGTTTTATGTAATAATGATTTTACGAAATTATGTACAACAACAAACAAATGAAAGAACAACTTAAAAATGTTTATTTGTTCCTGTTTCAGTTTTCAAACATTCTGATTTCTTCTATTTCTACGCGATTCTATAGGATACAGGTTATGTTTTGAAAAAAAACAACGATCTATTTTTGTTAAAATCATCACATAAAATGTTAACGAAACGGTGTATTGTGTTTGTAACTTTATTTCGCATGTATCGAGGATCAAAATAGAGATGTGTTACGAAGAATATATGTTATTATGTAAAGAATTCGAGTGATTCAATCGCACACTTAACCTAGTTAAATTCATACGATGTTTTAAGTAAATATAATGAATGAAAATTATTTTCTGGTGTTGACAGCATTAGACCTGGGGATGGCTTAGACCTCTCAGGGTCTGGGATGTCAACGCCACACATCTCTCACCTGGCATCGACAAATCCATTTAGCATATTATCACCAAGTCCACAACCGACTAGTTCTCAGTCTAGTACCACAGACATGCATACAATCGGCGGCCTTACAAACGTCAATATGCACTTATCTCCTGGGAGAAATGACAATCATGAAGGAAAATGTGAGGTGTGTAATTAAATATAATTAACATATTTTTCAATTAAATGTATTAACTTTATTTTTAAACTGTGTACTACAAAATAATTTCACTATTTTAGATATACGTTGGAAAAACATGTGCACAATTTCTAGCAAAGGAATCAGTTTATATTCCATATTCAATGACCCAAGAATTACTTGATGATAAATTAATGAAAGCTTTCGGTGTTATAGAGTACTCGAAGTAAGTACATTAGAAATTTTTAACTTGAAACCATAAAATTCTTCGAGAAAGATGTTTAATTCAAATGTAACATGGTAAACATCCGTATTTCAGTGAGGTCTCATCGAATTGCGAAGGCTATGCAAAACCATCTTTATGTTACTCTGCATTTCCGATATGCCGAGATCCTGCCAGTATTCTGAAGCTCAAGGATGCAAAGAGAATGTTTCATAGTTTAAGTAACAATCAAGATGATCTATCGAAAGACACGGGTGATGGCGATGACATAGGTGATATTACAAGGGCGCATGGTATTCCCAGAAAGCGAAGTCCCACTTTGGGTCCTGGTTCCGAATTTAATCCATTCATCGACGGGAAACCTTCCACGAAGAAGCTGCTCAGCCAAAGTTACGGCGAGACGCTGTTCTCTGGCCGGAACGACATCAATCGTAAATTACGGAGGATTTGTCGACAAGAGTGCGAAGTGTTGGAGAATGATCTATGCAGAAAGGAGTATGCAATTGCTAAGAGACATCCACTGATTGGACATCAAGTGCCTTTAATTAACTGTTCTGATTTGCCAATGGAAAACACCCCTGAGGCTCGTGAATGTTTAAGTCTTGGTATTTCTACAGAGAACAATGTGCAAGAGAGTAAGTAACGGGAACGTATTGTAATATAAAATACCCTGTCTATGATCTGTTAGCTTAATTCAATTCTCTTATGTTACAGACGATTATTGTTATTGGGGAAACGGTAAAACTTATCGGGGTATAGTGAAAACAAGCATTAGTGGAAGACCGTGCTTGCAATGGTTGGCTCATTTCAATCTGCCCATCTCTGATTACCCTGAATTAGCTGGTAAACACTCGTATTGCCGTAATCCAGATGAAACAGTATCTCAACCGTGGTGTTACGTTGACGTCAATCATACGATGCAGAAGGAATTTTGTGATATACCTAAATGTGGTAAATGTTACTCGCTGTTCAATGAAATGGCGTTTAATGCAAACATAATAAAACCGCTCGTTTCTTCGCAGTTGAAAACTTATGGATCTATGCAGTCGTTGGTTTTGTGCTAACAGGAGGACTTGTTGTAATATTGGTATGTTATTGCTGCTGCTATAGAAGCAGAAAGTCTACAAGGCAGATGAATCATTTGCCATCTAACAAAGTAAGATTTCGTATAGTTTCAAAAGTGAGGAGACTTGATCGATATACGAAAACTATTGAAAATAATATTCCATTCTTTGTTCAACAGATGTTAACAGGTATACAATGTGACAAGAACATATACGATGGAAGACGCAGTACGACACAGCCTATGGAAATGAGCTCGCTTTTAGCCGGTCCAGGTAACACGACTCCGGGAACTGGAACATTAAGCAGTGGTAGCAGTAGAACATCCAATAATAGGGTGCCACAATTTAGCACCAACAATGTTGTACTGCTGCAAGAGCTCGGTGAAGGAGCGTTCGGTGAGATCTCGTAACTTTTACAATTTTTTAAAGTTACTGAAGATTCTTTGACGGGGACATAATTTTCATTCGTCGTTTTATTGCTTCCCCAGGCAAAGTATACAAGGGCGAACTACAAACGGGTAACAAATGCGAACCACCGATTTACGTAGCGGTGAAGACATTGAAAGAAAACGCAAGTCCAAAAACACAAAACGACTTCAAACGAGAAGTTGATTTAATGACGGATCTCAGACATCCAAACATCATTTGCTTGCTCGGGGTTATATTGAAAGGAGAGCCAATGTGCATGCTATTCGAATACATGACCCAAGGTGATCTACACGAGTTTCTGATTTGTCATTCGCCGAGGTCGGACGTTCCGTTGAACAACGGAAGCGGCAAGATCTTAGAGCAACCAGAATTTTTACACATCGCTTTGCAAATTGCGTCTGGTTAGTATATAGATTCGTATAATTTTTGAAAATCTTTGCGTCGGTGTAATTTACTTGAGAGAATGTTGCTTCAGGTATGGAATACTTAGCGAGCCATCATTATGTCCATCGAGACTTAGCTGCAAGGAATTGTTTAGTCGGGGATAACTTAACTGTTAAAATTTCTGACTTTGGATTATCACGCGACATATATAGTAGCGACTATTATAGAGTTCAGTCTAAGAGTTTGTTACCTGTTCGATGGATGCCTCCAGAGTCAATTGTTTATGGGAAATTTACTACAGAGTCGGACGTTTGGAGTTTCGGTGTTGTATTATGGGAAATTTACAGTTACGGTTTGCAGGTAATGTAACAAAATAATATTAAATCGAAGTATTTGTGGCTGTGAAATTCAGAGATTAACATGCTACTACTCATTTTACAGCCGTATTATGGTTACAACAATCAAGAAGTGATAGACATGATACGTTCACGACAATTATTACCTTGTCCCGAAGATTGTCCCACCATGATTTACAGTCTAATGATAGAATGCTGGCACGAGGTTGCGAATCGTAGACCGCAGTTCCCAGAGATACATCATCGGCTACACAATTGGTACATAAATCAGACTTACCTGAGCGATTTCTGTAATGAGTCCATCACAAGCTACTCCGGAAGTAGCCACAAGAGCACGAATAAGACCAATTCTACGCAACTGTCGGCACCCATATACAAATGCGACCAGAAGGACATGAGTAACTTCAAGGGGAACATAGAGCAACCGTTCTGCAACATGAGCGAACACACTAACGGGCTGAAGATGCTACCACCGAGCTTCCAGAACTCGAACTCCATCGAGCAGAGACCGAATTGTGGTTTCAGTGAGCACAGTACGCCGATGAAAACTCCGAATTATCCTAATCAAACGAACATTAACTTGAACGAGTACGACGATAAACAGTGCTGTTCGCCGAAACTGAGCGGAGCCAAGAAGGTTCTGCCGCCAACGACGCAGCAGGTGGTCAAAACGAATACGTTAAACGGTACCAGACCTATGCAGAACGGCGCACAATTAGTCGTCAGGTTACCAGACCCCAGCAAGGTGACGACCGAGACCAGGGTATCCAAATGAGAACGGTAATCAATGATCCTTATGATCACGACGAATTTTTATGTTTCTATATATTTACCGTAATCGCTGTACAAGGTATCTATACGGTCCGTTTCTAGGTACAATTGAATCTTTAAAGCTTTTGGGGCAACGTTCGTTAAAGCAATTAGGTAACACACAACCGTCAATACCTAATCACTGCCATATTTCTGCATTTATATTTATTTCTACCGGAATATATGTGACATTTTATACTGGCAATAACATTTTTGATGGTGCAACTTTAACGTTTTATACATATACAGAAATACGTACATACGTGTAGGCATACGTGTATGTACGTTTTATACATACGTGTTCGCATACATATTATAAGCAGTGGTGGTACTCGAAACAGTTAAAAAACCGGGAAAAACAGAAATCAGTATCTTTTATTTAATTTAAAAAAGGAAATATATTCTTCGAAACTTAACATATTTTTATTGACCTACTAGTCTTTTCTTATTTATATATTTTATATCGTATGTTTACCGCAAAGGCTACTGTTAACTTTTTACGGCAAGTTTTAAATAAAATTGAACTTTAAAAGATGTTTAGGCAAAACTTTTGAATCCCATCACTGATTATAAATAAATATATACAGTGTAGGCTGTAGACTACCATTAATGTTCCCCCTCTATCATTTCTTGAATTGTATTTGAAAGTATTAGGCATCCTGTTAATATGTATTTAAACATACCTAACAGAAATTCACTCGTACATTAATTTCGTGTAAGTATACACCCAACTAATATTTCATCTATATTATACTAGAGTAACAATATTGGGTGCCACTCCTACCGGAGGAACAAAATTGTAAATCAAACAAGCCGCGAACTTTTTATGGTAATTTTTACTGATATTTTTGCAAACCAGTGAATCGTGAATTTTTTACTGAGATATTGTTGCTAAGATATAATATACCTGTAATAACAGTTGCACTTGTAATATTGTGTGCTTACCAGACTGAGAATAAGTATTTTAGAAGTTAAACTTTAAACGATTTGCGAAACTAATCCTCTCCCCTCTAAAAAATGGCACAATAATAAATTATCATCTGTATGTGTAGTGGTAGGTTGTTCCCTGTGGAAGGGACGATTTGAAATGTGATCTCTTTAGCGTCTGTTAAACAATTATTGCATAAATAGAGGCGGACGTGCGTAGACTGTTTCGATTAATTTCGGGGTAAACAAAAATGTATGATAGCGTCGTTCACAGGAATGAATCCAAATAATCCAATCTAATTGCTTCATTATATTATTTAACCGAACTTCACGATTTTTCTACTGCCGACTTTACATGTATTTTTTCTGCTTTAAGACTTCACCTACCGGGAGCCTTTTCAACAGGCACTTTAAGGAGACCGCTGTGTCCGAACAAGCCGAATGATTTTATTTTAAACAGCAATCCATAAAGATGCGAACGGACTATATATTACTTAAGGCAGCATCTTACATTTCGTGCAAAGGAAATCAGATCTTTCGTTTTTAAACGCCGGTAGATGAAGTATTAAAAATCGGGATTCGCAGATTTTCAGGAAGAACGAAACACAGGAAGACCACATGTTCTATTACTGTTGTTGATGACTGGGTAATCGCTGATACAATATTTTGAGCTGTTCAATTGCGTTAGATAGCGATGCAGATCTATATGTTCATAGAAAATCTTCATTCTAGAAGATCCAGCGAGCGTGAGAGCGATAGCGAATGCCGATCGTGAGAATTCGACGACGTTCAGTAACAAAATAAAGTCGTCAACGACACCAGTGTGTAAATTATACGCGGAATCATTTATTGTTCGCGTGTGCGGAGCGTGGAACATGGCAGCCGGAGGAGATGTTAATGCGCGCAGGCTGTTCAGAACTGGTCCGAAAGTCGAATCACGGGAATATGGACAAAAAAAAAGAAGGAATAGTAACGATTGTCTTCGACGACAGCATGAACAGCACTGTGTCGTGAATAAACTAATAATAATCGACGAGATTAGTGCTGTAGAAATTCAAATGTTCGAACTGCTTCTGTGCAAACTGACTGATCGAACTCCAAATTGTTGAATATAATGTTCTTAATAGGAACTATCGAACAATAGATTTCAACTTGTGCAAAATATTTGCTTGGATTTTTTTTAGATATCTTTTGCTAGCAACTGTAAAATATTTTATTTCATTTAACTTTTATTGCTCTTCATTTTTAAATGCTGATTTAAATTCATCAGACGTCTCTCTTGGTTTCTGAATAATTCTAATTTTCATAGGAATACAATTTTTATGTTTGGCGACTTGAATGGCAGGTTTTTAGATTTTAAACCAGAAATATAGAGCTACTTTTCTGGCAGTTATTCAAATTATTTGAATAATGATTTAATCGTGGCTACCATTGAATAATGCAAACCAATATTGCAAACTGAAAAGCTAAGAATAATTGTTCGACAGTTCTTTGATTAATAATTCAACAGTTGTTTATATTTGCTGTATCTCGGAATTTGTACAGTAACTTCACGTTCAAAGTAGTTCGAACTTTATTTACAGCCCTAAAGGGAAGCATAGAGTGAGAAGCGGACCTTGCACGGTCAATTATATTTTTGTTGAGCGTGAAAAGTAGCGAGAAGTGTGAGATTGCGTGTGATCGAAACGAAAAAATATAATCGCGACGCGCAGAATACAGTAATTTCTACCTAATTGACGCTCGGCTTTGAAACAAAAGTGGACGATTTGGGAAAAGCAGGCTCGAATAATCGAGCCTTGCGGCTCGTTTCTATAGTTGAGACCTTTTTATAAGTCGAGTTCCCAAATTGTCCATTTTTGTGCGCAATCCGAGCGCGAATTAGGGAGAAACGACTGTAATACGAGCGTTGAGCCGGAGATGCGTGTTGCCAGCATCGTCGAGACGATGTCATTGGCCGTGTCAGGGTCCGTTAGAGAGCTTGGAACGAAATCTGTATTATACTTTTTATAATTTTCTATTAAAAGGAACCAGCGCGCGCGCGGAGTGTTTCATCGGCTGTAAGGAAAGGGGGCGGGGAGCGCGCGCCGCCCCCGAAATCGATGTAAATTAGATACGTGGAGATCATTAGAATAACGTAACGGTTAAGTTGTGGAGCGAGACTTTTTTATGGTGACGAGCCTGCAACATGGTGATTGTATTATTAATTGTATTGTAAACACTCCCGCGGCCGCGTCGGAGGCTCGTCACCGGTTAGAGTTAAGTTAATTTATATCAACTACGTCGACGAGTATAGTACACTTAAGATATATATATATATAAATATAAATATAAATATATATATATATATACATACAGTCAACTATGATATAAACGATACATGTTTTTTGTACAGGTGTCTGCATTTTTCATTCCNTATTGCAAACTGAAAAGCTAAGAATAATTGTTCGACAGTTCTTTGATTAATAATTCAACAGTTGTTTATATTTGCTGTATCTCGGAATTTGTACAGTAACTTCACGTTCAAAGTAGTTCGAACTTTATTTACAGCCCTAAAGGGAAGCATAGAGTGAGAAGCGGACCTTGCACGGTCAATTATATTTTTGTTGAGCGTGAAAAGTAGCGAGAAGTGTGAGATTGCGTGTGATCGAAACGAAAAAATATAATCGCGACGCGCAGAATACAGTAATTTCTACCTAATTGACGCTCGGCTTTGAAACAAAAGTGGACGATTTGGGAAAAGCAGGCTCGAATAATCGAGCCTTGCGGCTCGTTTCTATAGTTGAGACCTTTTTATAAGTCGAGTTCCCAAATTGTCCATTTTTGTGCGCAATCCGAGCGCGAATTAGGGAGAAACGACTGTAATACGAGCGTTGAGCCGGAGATGCGTGTTGCCAGCATCGTCGAGACGATGTCATTGGCCGTGTCAGGGTCCGTTAGAGAGCTTGGAACGAAATCTGTATTATACTTTTTATAATTTTCTATTAAAAGGAACCAGCGCGCGCGCGGAGTGTTTCATCGGCTGTAAGGAAAGGGGGCGGGGAGCGCGCGCCGCCCCCGAAATCGATGTAAATTAGATACGTGGAGATCATTAGAATAACGTAACGGTTAAGTTGTGGAGCGAGACTTTTTTATGGTGACGAGCCTGCAACATGGTGATTGTATTATTAATTGTATTGTAAACACTCCCGCGGCCGCGTCGGAGGCTCGTCACCGGTTAGAGTTAAGTTAATTTATATCAACTACGTCGACGAGTATAGTACACTTAAGATATATATATATATAAATATAAATATAAATATATATATATATATACATACAGTCAACTATGATATAAACGATACATGTTTTTTGTACAGGTGTCTGCATTTTTCATTCCTCCTTCATTATATTTATTTCTCATTTTTAATAACATCTTAAAATTTTATATGTAAAATATAAATAATAATAATTTGTACTAAAAAGTACCGATATACTTTGTAAACTACTGCAGTTTCCTTTCTTCTTCTATAAAAAATCTATACCGAGCAATATGTGTTCCGATCGCGCAACAATAGCAATAACCTTGACATTAATTAACTACTTCGTTGGGGAATTTATTCGATGATCATCGGGGTTTGCTGAAACATTTCAAACTCGTTATTTAAACGCGGTGTCGTGTGTCGAAGTCGTATAACGTTACAGTACCGATACTATCGAATGTAAAAGCTGTTCCTGACGGTGTTCGGTGATAAAAAGACGCGCGACGATAAGGCGGAGTACAAATATCGCGACTACCTTTTCCATTTAAATACAGTCGCGCTAATTTATGAGATCGTAAACTTGAGATCACGTTCGACATGGAACGTATTCGAGATGAAAATGAAGGAAAGCGAACAACGTCGAATAAACAATACATATAATTATAGACGTTTTACACGAAATTCGTGTCTTCGACGGATGACGACGTCGACCGGTTTTATCGAACGGATTTAAATCCATAAAAAAAAACGGCGAGATCCGGGACACGATCTTACAAACGCGTATTACAAAAGAATTTATTTCGCTTCCGATACAAGAGATACGCCACGAAATATAAACGCTGCGGTAATATAAATTCCTGTCTTGCGAATCCCGGACGGCGGTTTTTATCGTTTCGACATCGGGACATTTACCATCGTGATAATCCCTAATTGGGTACCGAACCAAGAGACACCTGCATGTTATTTTCTCATCAGTTCGTATCCGGCAACAGTTACTGAAACCGCTGAACATGTTAGGCCGGATCCATTAAAAACATAATGCGAGTTCGGTAAGTAATAACATTAAATAATAACTACGGTCGTAATCAAAAGGTATTGGTACGTCTTTTAACCGGATTACGATGATGTCCTCTGTTAACTCATCGAGTTCGTGAGTAAATGCTATTTTCACGATCGACGTCACCTTCGAATATTTCTTGAAACTCGCGTGAAATATCGCATTCAAAATTGTTGTTAAGTTGTGCCAGAAGTTAAGAAGTCTCGCGTGATATTTGCACCGGGAATATTCTGTGATATTGAACGAAGTCTCGGCAAATCAATTAGTTCGCGATCATCGAAACGCTTAGATATTTATAGCGCTTGAACGATTATTATTAAGCTAATGATTAGCTTAAATATTATTAAGTCAAAGAATTCGCATACGAAAATCAATTTAGACATAATATAATATTCATTGGCAGCGGCTAAGCACTTCCGGATCTGGAAACCAGAAGAACCAAGGTGTCATGAGGCAACTGCTATTGCTTGTAGTCATTCACAATCTCGTGTCACCTGTTCGATCGATCCACGATCTGATATGGAACAAGCAAATGGAAAAATTCGAGTCGATCGCCAGCAGACCAAATTTCGCCGTTTTGTACAACTATGAAAACGACAGTCGTGCGAAACACACGTACAACTTCCAAGGGAAAGCTATCAGATTGGCCTATTACGATGTAATAATACTGAGTAAAAGTGTTTCTTTCGTATCGTTTTAAGTACTGCATTTTATTACGGAGGAATCCATTGTATTAAAAAAAGACGGTAGAGTTGCTCAAGGGCTGTAAAAACGAGCCGCGAAGCTCGATCATTCGAGCCTCCGCTTCTCGAATTGTCTATTTTTGTGCAGAATCCGAGCACGAATTAGGAAGAAATGACTGTGTTTAATTATAGAACAGTAGTTCCCCTGTTTTAATATTTTGCTAGCTCACATCTCGGCGGACCCGCCGATTAGGGTAACTGTAATCCACGCGGCTTTGTTATCAGATGCCGAACATTATCACCGGCGAGGAGAACGGAACATCCGTCACGGGTTATATCGGCGAGATATGGAAAACTTTAGCGAAATATTTAAATTTCACGTAATATCGTTCGAAGAAGAAGAAGAAAACGAGCGCCGAAATAACGAGCAGCGCATCAATTATAATCTATTGTTGTAGGTTGAAACCGATCCTTACGAATGATAAGAGCGTAGGATGGCAAATGGACAATGAAACCCTGTTTAGCCCAGGCTTATTAAGGATGCTTCAATTAAATCAAACGGACGTCGTGGCGAGAATCGAAGGAGGCTTCAACAGACGTTCGATAGCTCAGTTTTCGCATCCATTGAGAAGAACTAGGCGAGTTGCTGGAACTACGTTTAAACGCGAAGGCGATCTTACGGACATTAGAGTTCTCGATACTTTCGTAAAACCGTCGACAATCCGTCGAGATTTTAATTATTCGGTTACAAGCATTGCCCTGTGGATCGAGTAGATCTCGAACGTTCAATCGATCGTTCGATAATTAATCAACACGATTCTTATTATTCTCTTTAAAGTCGCGGAACGTTCGGCATCTCAGAAATTTCTCTACAAATTTCTAGGCAAACTACATACAGTAATGTCTCTCTAATTCACGCTCAGATTGCCCACAAAAATAGACAATTTAGGAAGTGGAGATACGATCGATCGTTCCTTGCGGTTCATTTTTATAGTCGCGAATTGTCAACAACTATAAAAACGAGCTGGAAGGCTCGAATAATCGTATCTCCTCTTCCCAGTTTGTGCGCAATCTGAGCGTAAATTAGCGAGAATCCTTTGAATCCGCGTCAAGTGCCCTCCGAATTGCCTTCAAATCGTATCAAGTGGCCTCCGAATTGCCTTCGGATCTCCTCTTCCCAAATTGTCCATTTTTGTGCGCGACCTGAACGCAAATTAGCGAGAATTCTTTGAATCCGTGTCAAGTGCCCTCCGAATTGCCTTCGGATCTCCTCTTCCCAAATTGTCCATTTTTGTGCGCGACCTGAACGCAAATTAGCGAGAATTCTTTGAATCCGTGTCAAGTGCCCTCCGAATTGCCTTCGGATCTCCTCTTCCCAAATTGTCCATTTTTGTGCGCGATCCGAGCGTCAGTTAGGGAGACATTACAGTAACGTGTTGTACCTTCATTTCTTCGATGTTTTTTTTACACCCTCGTTCAGGATCGTCATCTACATAAAACCAGCAACGAGGCATGTCACTACTTGGATGTTGAAGCTGTTCTCGAGAGGAGTCTGGCTCGCGATTCTGGCGACATACGTGCTCATAAGTGTATTCGCTTACATATTCCGAGCGATCGAGACGGGGATGCGACGGCAGTGCATGGCCGTGAACATGATCGATTATTTCTTCTACAATTTCAGCGCGATATGCAATCAAAGTAAGGACGAATCGGTCGAACCGCGGTGTCCTCGAATCGAGCGCGACCGCGTTTCATTCGTAAAGATGAAAAGAAACACGTGGCGATATCTGAGCGCATTTGTAACATTTGGCTCCTTTATTCGATTCGACAGGTTGCGATTCAGGTGCTGCCAGTGAAAGTTCCAAGATACTGGAATATTCGTCGGTTGTGTTCGCTTTTCTGATCAACGTCTCGTTCAACGCGCTTGTGATCGGCTACATGACGCAAACGGTCACGGTGATGCCTTTCAACGACGTAACGTCTTTAATATACGATTCGCAATACGATATCATCACCGTGAATGGTTCAATGGCGCATATGTCGTACGAGGTATGATCCGTTTCGATCTGCTGACGAAAATGATTTGATTCGTTTCTGCGAGAACAGAATTGCTTGCTCGAGAACGAAACAGTGCCATTATCTCCTACGATTTATAAATTTAATCCGAAGAATTTCGATCCTATACAATGAGATGCAGAATATTTACATATAAACTTATAGATATTTGTAAATATTATATTCTTTTGTGTTTCCATTGTTCTTTTACATTTACATTGGCAGAGGGATTATTTGCCGTCACACTCGTACAAGAAACCTATAAAAAGGATTATCGTTGTGGACCATCCGGCTGAACTGTTCAGGAATCTGTGCTCGCAGGAATTAATGGCTACACTACTAATCGAGGAAGAAAAACAAGCCAACAGACACTACATGTGCGATCTGGAGCCTTTGATACTGCCTCGAAGTATGGACATAGTGTCCGGAATCTCGTTGAACTTCGAAAACAAACGGAGCATCGATTTTGGGTAAATAAGATGTAATTAATAAAATAATTATATATATGTATATATAATTGTTCAGCGGGTAGTTGAGATTTCTGATCGACGTGATCGCGGTAATTTGTTTCTCCAATTAAACGATCGGATATGTGACGATTTTGATATTTTACGAAGTCGCTGTACCATTTCCGTTGTGCAGATTACTGAAATTACACGAAACCGGCTTGATTCACGCGATGCACAATTATTGGTTGAAGTCCAAAAGAAGGCAGCAGAGCGGACCTGAACCAGTCCTCTTGGAGCAAGTGTATTTGGTTATCTATTTATTGTTCGTTGGTATATTTGTATCGGTTACGATTCTCATATTCGAGCTAATTACGTTTCACAGCACGAATTAACGTGTTTCCTCGAACCGGAAAGTGAAATTTCCGCCACCTTAAAGAAACTGAACTGCACGCGTTTCCATAACTCGCATAATTTATAATAATAATGACAATAATAATAATGATGATAATAATAATAATAGAATATTCTAGCTTGGATTTCGCTATATTTAACTAGAAAAATGTGCTGTCCCAGAACTTAGATCTATAAAATGGTTAGACCAAGACTCGATTCAACGAACACATATAAAATAATTAGTTTCGATCGTGATAGAAGATTACGGTATGAAACAATGTAAACGTTACTATAATCACGATTCTCCGATCTTGCGAATCCGGTAGAGCAAGGCTTATCGGTGTAACATCGGGGTACATTTAGCATCACGATAACGCCTAACTAGTCAGTGAACTAATAAAAAATCTAACACGCGCGACAGTTTTACCCCAGTTTCTGTCCGGTTACATTTATTGAAACCGCGTTCGGCTGGTCGATCGTGTGAAAAATATGGAAAAGTCTGGAAAAGTGAACGCAGCGTTGCATAAAACGTCGGAACCGGTGAAATGTAATTTACGGAAAATAAAATGTAATTAACGCAATATTTCTTTAAGACGATGCGAGGAGATATAAAATATTTTATAAATGTAATTTATAAAACTGACATTGTGTGGAATTACAATAAATTCTCCCTAATTTTCCTTCAGCTTGTAAACAAAAGTGGTCAATTTGGAAGGAAAATTAGGGAGAATTATTGCACCTTCTTTGCTCGAATATTCCTGTTCCGTCTCATCGTTATGTTCAAAGTAAATTCAGTGTTGTTTTTTATTTTATTTTATTTTATTTTATTGCAAAAACCGTGGAACACCGCATCATCGCGTCGTGAAAGTTCATTTCAGTGTCAACAATGCAGAAGCAGCTGAGCACTTCCGGTTTCGAAAACTCGAGGACCCACTACGTAATTAGGCAGCTGCTATTGCTTGCAATTGTCTGCGAGCTACTGATACCCGCGCAATCAATGGACGATATGCTATGGAACAAGAGAACGCAAAAATTCGAGTCGATTGCCAGCATACCAAATTTCGCCTCTTTGTACAACGATGACAACGAGAGCCGTGTGAAGGATGAATACAACTTCCATGGGAAAGATATTAGATTCGGCTATTACGATGTAATAATACCGAATGAAATTTGCTCGAGCTGCTTAATTTGTTTCGTTAATAAGGCAGATTTTAATTAGCCTGGTATTTTCTCATCAGATACCGAAGGTTATCACTGGCAATGAGACAGAAATCTCCGGCTATATCGGCGAGATATGGAAAACTTTAGCAGAATATTTAAATTTCACGTAATATCGTTTGAAGAAGAAAACAAAAAGCGCCAAAATAATGAGTAGAGTGCATCAATTATAGTCTATTATTTTAGGTTGAAACCGATCCTATCGAAAGACGAATATATAGGATGGCTAGTTGACAATGGAACTGAGTTTAGCCCTGGTCTATTAAGGATGGTTCAATTAAATCAAACGGACGTCGCAGGGAGGGTTGAATCAGCCCCGGACAGAAGTATCGCAGCACAGTTAACGCTTCCATTGAAAAAAGCTAGGCGAGTTACTGGAGCTACGTTTAAACCTATAGTCGATCTTATAATTATTAAAATTTTCGAAACATTCGTAAAATCCGTAACAATCTGTTCAGATTTTAACTGTTTAGTTAGAAGCATTGCCCTAACGATAGTGGATCCTAAACAATTAAACGATAATTTGATACACCAATTACAAAGATTCTTATTACTTCTTTTAAATAATTTAAAGTGAAATTTCTGAAGAGACAAACTAATTTTGTGCTCATTCACGTTTTCTTCGATATTTTAAACCTTCGTTTAGCGTTTACATTTTCCTGAAAGCAACGCCGAAACATATTACCACCTGGGCGTTGCTGCTATTCTCGAAGAAAGTCTGGTTCACGATCCTGGCGACTTATATACTGTTAAGTATATGCAGTTACGTCTTCCATGCAACGGAAACGGAAATCCGACGGCAGAACATAAGCCTGAGCCTGCTCGATTATTTCTTCTACAATTTTGGATTCTTGTGCACTCAAAGTAAGAACGAGCTATCAAACGCCAGCTTGAATCCAATGACTATTTCATTTGCAGGCGAAATGAGAAAATGAAGAATTCAGTACATTTACAGAAATGCATAAAACCTGTATTCTGTTTATAACATTACCTCTTTGTTGTTACCGGATTGAAAGCGTCGTTTCATTCGCAGGTTACAATTCACGCGATACTAACAATAGCTCCAGAATAATGGTACATTCGGTGGCTATATTTGCCTTGCTACTTAACGCGTCGTTCAACGCGCTTGTCATCGGCTACATGACACGAACGAACGTAGAACTGCCTTTCAATGGCATCGTATCTGTAATGGAGAATACGCAGTACAATGTTGTTGCTGTGAAGGAATCCTCGGTGCATAAGGGACTAGAGGTATAATCTATTTCGACCAGCGCGTATCGAAATTAGAGTGTACGCCAACAGCCATTTAGAATATTCGTGTCGCCAAACGAAGCTTCTTTTACGCATGTATATACATATGTTGCCAGGTGGCTGCTATTCCTAATCGTTCAAGTAAAAGTCCCAAGAAAAGATATTTCGCTGTGGACAATATCACTGAACTATACAAGACACTGTGCTCGAAGGAATTAGTATGCGCATATCTGTTGGACGAAGAAACAATACAGGACGGAAACTTCTGTGATCTACAGTCTATAGGACCAGTTGGATCAATAAACATAGTGTCCGGAATCTCGTGGAACTACAAAAACAAACAGATCATCGATTATGGGTAAATAATTGAATTGTATTATCATGATATGCACTTATATTGTACGATGAAATTGTAAGAAACATCAATTGAGTACTTGAACGCAAATGGAAGTTAATATTTTTGTTATCAGTGAGTTTTGTAATTTTTAAAAATTGCTGTATCATTTACGTTGTACAGATTATTGAAATTATACGAAAACGGCGTTCTAAACAAGATACAGCGTAGTTGGCACAAACAGAAAGTGGACGAGAATACACGTGAACCTGAAGCAATCGTCCTGGAACAGGTGTATTTAATTCTCTTATTATTGTTCGGCGGTATGTTAACGTCGATCATAATTCTCATACTCGAGCAAATTACGTTCCATTGTAAAAAGTAACGTCGATTCAACAATTTCACGTCAATTTAACATCAGTTCGTATATCTTTCTCAGCACTAGACGTAATAAGATGAAACAATTAATTATTTCAACTTCGTTGTATTCATGTTAGCGATAACACGGAGAAAGTTATTCGGACAATACCTAAGCTAGATTGTACTATGTATATTTAAGGCCGGCATCAGATGGTCGGTTGACGGCGATTTGCCGCCGAAAGAACATTCAACTGCAGCTTTGTGCCGCGGCGTTTTACTATTGAAAACAATAGTAATTGCGGTTCCGATTGAAAAATGTATACAATCTTAAATCTATAAAATATTTGACTTAGGAAACAACTCCACGAATACATTTTAGAGAATGATTTATTTCGATCGTAATGTGAGTTTACGTCGCAAAACACAAACCTCCGGGTGACCTAAATTCCGGTTTTACGCTTCCGTGACCGAGGAACTTATCAACTCAACATCGGAACATTTAAAATCATGATAACGCTTAATTAGACGTTGAATTTGCGAAACCAACACGCATAACATTCTCGTTTCAGATCTTGTTCTGCAGTATTTATTGAGTTTCAGAACTTTTAAATGATTCGGCTGAAAGCGATACTAATGGAGATTATCGATAATGAAAGCTAGTCTGGTGATACCGGCGATACGAAATGTAATTTTCCATGTTACTTTTTTAAAACGTAACTTTAAAACATATCGCGTGCGATGGCTAGCATTAACCATGAAAGACAGTATTAAAATATTGAGCAATTAAATATAGTCAATAATAAATAATGTTATAACAAGCATCACAATGGTAAAAATTTTAACTCGGCGAGATTGATCTAACAATGTTTTATTTGCTACCACTTTGTTCAAAATATCAACAATAAAATCGATGCTAATTATAAAATCGTGTCGTTTGCTCACCATCTTTTACTGCTGGACTGTTGCAGCAACAGACTCCTCAGCATCTTTTACTGCTGGACTGTTGCCTGTCTCTTATACACATCTAGATGTGTATAAGAGACAGGCAACAGACTCCTCAGCATCTTTTACTGCTGGACTGTTGCCTGTCTCTTATACACATCTAGATGTGTATAAGAGACAGGCAACAGACTCCTCAGCATCTTTTACTGCTGGACTGTTGCCTGTCTCTTATACACATCTAGATGTGTATAAGAGACAGGCAACAGACTCCTCAGCATCTTTTACTGCTGGACTGTTGCCTGTCTCTTATACACATCTAGATGTGTATAAGAGACAGGCAACAGACTCCTCAGCATCTTTTACTGCTGGACTGTTGCCTGTCTCTTATACACATCTAGATGTGTATAAGAGACAGGCAACAGACTCCTCAGCATCTTTTACTGCTGGACTGTTGCCTGTCTCTTATACACATCTAGATGTGTATAAGAGACAGGCAACAGACTCCTCAGCATCTTTTACTGCTGGACTGTTGCCTGTCTCTTATACACATCTAGATGTGTATAAGAGACAGGCAACAGACTCCTCAGCATCTTTTACTGCTGGACTGTTGCCTGTCTCTTATACACATCTAGATGTGTATAAGAGACAGGCAACAGACTCCTCAGCATCTTTTACTGCTGGACTGTTGCCTGTCTCTTATACACATCTAGATGTGTATAAGAGACAGGCAACAGACTCCTCAGCATCTTTTACTGCTGGACTGTTGCCTGTCTCTTATACACATCTAGATGTGTATAAGAGACAGGCAACAGACTCCTCAGCATCTTTTACTGCTGGACTGTTGCCTGTCTCTTATACACATCTAGATGTGTATAAGAGACAGGCAACAGACTCCTCAGCATCTTTTACTGCTGGACTGTTGCCTGTCTCTTATACACATCTAGATGTGTATAAGAGACAGGCAACAGACTCCTCAGCATCTTTTACTGCTGGACTGTTGCCTGTCTCTTATACACATCTAGATGTGTATAAGAGACAGGCAACAGACTCCTCAGCATCTTTTACTGCTGGACTGTTGCCTGTCTCTTATACACATCTAGATGTGTATAAGAGACAGGCAACAGACTCCTCAGCATCTTTTACTGCTGGACTGTTGCCTGTCTCTTATACACATCTAGATGTGTATAAGAGACAGGCAACAGACTCCTCAGCATCTTTTACTGCTGGACTGTTGCCTGTCTCTTATACACATCTAGATGTGTATAAGAGACAGGCAACAGACTCCTCAGCATCTTTTACTGCTGGACTGTTGCCTGTCTCTTATACACATCTAGATGTGTATAAGAGACAGGCAACAGACTCCTCAGCATCTTTTACTGCTGGACTGTTGCCTGTCTCTTATACACATCTAGATGTGTATAAGAGACAGGCAACAGACTCCTCAGCATCTTTTACTGCTGGACTGTTGCCTGTCTCTTATACACATCTAGATGTGTATAAGAGACAGGCAACAGACTCCTCAGCATCTTTTACTGCTGGACTGTTGCCTGTCTCTTATACACATCTAGATGTGTATAAGAGACAGGCAACAGACTCCTCAGCATCTTTTACTGCTGGACTGTTGCCTGTCTCTTATACACATCTAGATGTGTATAAGAGACAGGCAACAGACTCCTCAGCATCTTTTACTGCTGGACTGTTGCAGCAACAGACTCCTCAGCATCTTTTGCTGCTAAGTTATCTTCGCTCTTTCCTGGTAATGTAAACGTTTTTGCTGCTACTTCTTCCGGTGGTAGCCAACTTGGCACAATCTTTCCATGTAATCGCCAAATGCCGTATTCATTAGACAAATGCTTTTCGAATACTATATAATCAAGAACATCTTTCCTTAATATTTCGCTACCCTTTAACAGCCGCCCAAATCGATCGTAAATGCACAAAATCTGAAAAAAAACATCTTGCATGAAACAATATGGAAAAAATATATTGTATAAAAAATGAATTGCTATTGAACCTGTTGACTGTGAAACCGGACAGTAATTTGCGCAAATATATTTTCCTTTGTTATTATACTCGTACATCTTGCATGTACAATACGTGCTGGTTCTAAGGATTCCAAGAATTTCCAAACAATTGTTTTGTCCTCTATGTTATGCAACATTTTCTACAATTAAACAGAGTTTAGCAATATGTTCTTAGTATTAGTATATTCAACCATAAAATATTCAAATATATGGAACTTACAGGATATGCAGTCTCTGTAACATATTGTATTAAATCATCCTTGTTTTTGCTGAAAATAAACAAAATTATTGTTTCACAAAATAATTGTTATCATTCTGTAAATAAACTTCTACACCAAACACTCACGTAACCAATGCATTATGCGCTTTCTTGTATATATCCAATGCGTGGTCTACAAATGCATCTGTTGTAAAATTATCATCATACGATTTTATTTTCCTAATAGCCATATAAGATTTACTCTTTTTTTCAACGAATTCCAATTTCTGCTTTGCTCCCTAAACATTAAATGTGAAATGATTGTTTATAATTTACAGAGATTATAATATAATATAATATAATAATAATAATGTGAATTTAATCTGTACTTATGTACCTCTTTTGTGATACTAGAATATCTTCCATCACCCTCTGGTACAACGTAAGGTTCAAATATATTGGGTGTACTAGAAATGAGAACTGGCCTTTCAGACCATTTCCTTTGAGGTACCATACCATACTTTTTCATTCTTGCTCGAAATTGTTCTCTTGACATTGTAGCATCGTCGTCGTCTTCGTCAAAGTTTGGAAGTTCTACTTTAATAAATTTTTCTCTCCTTTCTTTACGGAACTTTGGATTCCAATGTTTGGCTATATTCCTAAGTTGTTGAAAATTGTAAGACGGGTAACTAGCTGGACCTAAGATTAAGTGTTGATTATTCTGGAAAGGAATTATATTTTCTTAAAGATCAGAAGCATTTATTAGATTCAATAATAAGATTCAAATTACCTGCATATATTTTCCAAAAGCACAAATGACGTCCTTGTATTTTGATATCATCATTACAAATTAGCTTTAAATTTAGCAACGATAAATTTTTATATACTTGAATTACAGTATAATTATGTTAGCATACATTCAAGTTAGGTAGTAATATAATAACAAAGGTTACTTAAATACAACGTAACATATCAAATAGTGATTTAGGTACTTTTCAATAACTCAAAATAAATGCAAACATAGTTGTGTGTGTGTGTGTGTGTGTTATTGAAAACCACTTCAAATATATTACTTCTGCAACAAAATATTATTATTTTTTCGTTATAAGTTCTTTAATCACTTATGTATATACGTTACGATTATATACAATGTAGTGTTCGCAGGAAAATAGACTACGTAAAGAGTGGGGCAGGCGACACATGCGCCAGAATCACACACTGCGGTGTGGTGTGAGAAGCAGAAATTGCTATGCTCTGATTGGTTGATTATTCAATGCTAAGACAGGATTTACTGCGGATAAAATGGTGAGAACGTTTGCTAAAGATGGATTCATATGTATAATTTTATATGTACAGTGATACCTGTTTTTGGCTCATTATGTATGTATATATAATGATCTTATTTACAGTCATTAATATAAAATTATTATATACATACATGTATCCATAGATTAGATCTTAGATCGATAGATCTAAGGAAGATAGATCTAACGAATTTTTAAAAGGAAGTCTTCGAAATTTACGGAGTTTTTACCACAGATTTTAAAAAATTTAGGTTGGCAATTCTGGATGCAATACTAAATTGGCGCGAATTCTTGGTCACAGTACACGTTTCTTGTAAACATAGATTTTTCGACATTACGTAGTGCAGTATAATCTGATAGTTTTGTTTTAGTTATCATGGGTATTCTAGGTTTAGCAAAACTAGTTGCTGATATTGCACCAAATGCTATTAAAGAACGAGAATTGAAACATTATTTTGGTATGTTTTACAGCACTTCAATATAAACGACATTTTTTAACTTATAATTTAAAAACTGTTTTTCAGGTCGTAAAGTTGCTATCGATGCATCTATGTGTTTATACCAATTTCTTATCGCTGTTCGGAGTGAAGGTGCTCAACTTACTACAGTAGATGGAGAAACAACAAGGTACCTACATGTTTATAATGTATTTTATTTTATTCTTGAAGTTGATTGTTTTATAGTTTATCTTTATATATTATTACGTTTATAGTCATTTGATGGGTACATTTTATCGAACAATACGCTTGGTAGAAAATGGAGTAAAACCTGTATATGTATTCGATGGAAAACCTCCAAACTTGAAAGGTGACGAATTAGCTAAGCGTGCAGAAAGGAGAGACGAGGCACAAAAACTTTTGCAAGCTGCAGAAGAAGCTGGTAATTATAAAGATTATTTAAGTAGTTATTCCATTCTTTATGTCTGTTACATTATTTTTAAGTCTCTTTTAATATATTCTCTAAGGAAATGTGGAAGATATCGAGAAGTTTAATAGACGATTAGTGAAAGTTACAAAAGAACATGCAGATGAAGCTAAACATTTGTTGAAATTAATGGGTATTCCATATGTTGAGGTGAGTAAAATGTAAAAGTTTTATAATATCCCTAAAGTGTATATTAATATATATTTATATAAAGGCACCTTGTGAAGCAGAAGCACAATGTACTGCTTTAGTCAAGGCTGGTAAAGTGTTTGCAACAGCAACAGAAGATATGGATGCACTTACTTTTGGATGCAATGTTTTACTTCGTCGATTAACATTCAGTGAGGCTAGAAAAATGCCTGTACAAGAATTTCATTTTGATAAAGTATTAGAAGGTCTTGAATTAAATCATGATGAAGTATGTAGTCTTTACACTTTTATCATACAATGTATCAATATGAGTTTCATTCAATATGTTATTTGTTAATAGTTCATTGATCTGTGCATTATGATGGGTTGTGATTACACAAACAGCATTAAAGGAATTGGCCCAAAAAGAGCAATTGAATTGATCAAGACACACAGATCACTTGAGAAAATTGTTGAAAATTTAGACTCAAAAAAATTCTCGGCTCCAGAAGATTGGAATTATAAACAAGCTCGAATATTATTCCAGAAGCCTGAAGTGACAGATCCTGATAAAATTGATGTAAAAAAATACAATGCATATACTATGTAAAATACTGCTAAACTCTATTTGTTACATATTGTTGTATTATATTTTTCATTGTTGCACGAAGTGTGAAAAGGAGATGCTATATTTTAATTTATGCAATATTTGCTTTTTTACTCTCAATATATTGATATATGTTTTTATTCTTCTTAGTTAAAATGGTCTGAGCCAGATGAAGAAGGACTAGTTAAATACTTATGCGGTGATAAACAATTTAATGAAGATAGAGTAAGAAGTGGAGCAAAGAAGTTACACAAAGCAAGAAATACTTCTACCCAGGGCAGATTAGATACCTTTTTTAAGGTCTTGCCAAATTCAAATCCTAGTCTTGCAAAGCGCAAAGTAAGTAAAATTCTACTTTTTTTTGTCTCCCTTTGCCCACTGATCTTTTGATGCATACCATTTTGGTAGCCAATGCTTGATATACATCTACCATTACTGTACTCTCATCACTCATTTTACCACTTTCTCAACGATATATACCTCTTCTACAATCTTTTCCTTACACGATTTATATATGGAAGTCCAAATAAATATAATTATCAACTTCAAAATAGGCAGAAGAAACGAAGGGAGCTGCAAAGAAGGCTAAGAAAGGCGCTACTGGAAAATCACGTGGAAGGCCAAAATAATTCATAGTCACTGATGATGTACATTCAAACATATTGAATCTCTCTTATATGTATATCTCTTAATTTACGTCTGAAATTATTCACATTATTCAATACAGGAAAAGTCACAAGGAATTTAAGTTCGTCTATATCTAAATGTATTATAACTGAAACGTACTTATGCACCTTCATATTTATTTGATAAAATAGATCATACATTTTTAAATAACATCTTTGATTTCATATATATATAATAACTAGTGTTTGTCAGTTAGTTTGTTATATAACTATTTATTTCTTCTTTGTTTATCTCATTTCATGTAAATGTATAAGCAGATAACAATTTAAAGTCATAGAAACTGTAATCAATTACGTCGTTTCTACTAGAATAATTCGTTCAGTCTTGATTTCAGCACCACATTTACTAACTATATCTTTGTAAATTACGTGTGGAATTGAATTTTGCATCGAATGGCAGTTGGCAGTGCTTTGGAGCTACCGTCAATATTTACATTAGGCTTTTTAAGAAACTTAGTACGTCATGCATTGGTGTATATAAATTTTTGTGCATTAAAAACATTCAGACGTCACTGAAATGTTATTACTGTACTACCAATAGCATCAGGATCTAATACATGCTGCAGTGCTTGTTCAATATTATGAGGTCCATATACCCTGTCTACAACCACTTGCAACTGATCAGCATCGACTAAATCACTCAATGCTTGTAAGTATGTTACATTTAATTTCGAACCTTCTTTCCATTGTTGCATGTTAAAACCAAACATATACTGCAAGGTAAAGTAATAAAGAGTAATTAGTAACTACAAAATCATAATTAATAATTACATTTACCTGGATAATTAACTTTATCCGTACCCAGCCAGCAAATAAGCTGCCAGATATAAAACCTAACGAATCAGAAGTTAATTGTTCAGGGGTCGTAGATACATAGGAACCATAAGGCACTAATCGTTGCTTTAAAATACGTTCGTCAATTGGTTGACCTCCAGTATAAAAAATAGCATCATATCTAAAGTATCATTACTTTAGTACACAGCATATAACTTTCTCTTACATAAATGTTTGAGAAATATATTCATACTTATCATATAATTGCAACTCTTTTTCTAGGCTTGAGCTATTTAATGCTATAATGTTATCTGCTCCCAAAGCCTTTGATGTAGAAATAGCACTTGGTCTACATATTGTACACACATGTCCTCCCCATAACTTAACCAGTTGAGTTAAAATACAACCAATTGGAGTATTTCCTCCATATATAAGTACTCTGCAAAATAATAATTCTGTTAATTCTGTTTAATATTTCCATGTCAAAGACAAGATATCGTAGTTCTATTTAAAATCATATGTACCGCTTTCCTTTTGCATTGCCCTCGCGAATCGTAGATCTATTAACTAGAGCATCCCATGCCAAGCATCCATTATATGGAAGACTGGCAGATGCTTCGAAAGTAAAAAGTTTTGGTCGCTTAACTACTCGGGTTTCTGGGACTACTATGTATTCTGCCATTGTTCCAGGAGCCCATGAAGGAACAGCTAAGAAAACTTCGTCTCCAATATCAAAATTGATAACACCCTGTCCAATACCTACCACTATACCTGTACAATCTCTTCCTAATGTAACTGGTAATTCTCTGTGTATCTGAAAATAAGTATATATTAATGTATTTTTAATGTTAGAAGGCTAATATGCTCTAATAAAATAGGGTTTAAAGTAAAGAAAATATTATACTCCAGAATTGAGCAGTCTTCTATAAATTTTGGAGTATCCAGAACAAATCTTTGTATCAATAATATTAACAGAAGCTGCTTTAACTTGTATCAATAAATCGTTCGGACGTTGAGTCATAGGCATTTCTGAATCATCTATCATAGATACACCCTGTAAAATTTGTATTAGTTATTAATATATATTGAGCTTGATGTTTATTATAAGAACTATTAAGAAAATTTAAAAAAGGAATTTGAGAACATAACACGATAAAATAATAAATTACTGTTATTTCTGCAAAATTTATTTTAAAATAAAATAATTGTATTGAATACCTCAATACCAATGTACTGGTGACATATTATAGCTTTTATATGATGCATGTGATGCATACTATATCCCCAATTAGTTCCAATATAATAACCAAGTACAGTACCCATAATTAAACCAGTCAAACAAAATGCTAGCTCTCTCTTTGACACTAGAGAAAGTAAATAAAAATACATTAGCATTAAAGTACATTCCTCTTTTTGAATTATTGATGTACCTTCATTGTTGCACAAATTTCTGTAAAATGATTTAACACTAAAATGTGTATTATAATACTGAAATTGTATTTCTTCCCAAGCTTTTGCAAACCAACTAAGTATTGATTGTATTATTTCCTTCACATTTTGTACATTGTGATGACTATTTAATTCTTGAAAAAATTGACGTGCCTGTATCAGCCAATCTGTGATCCATTGTTGCCCTTGTTGAACAACTGCATATGTGTGAACCTTCCATAAAAAATGTGACATAATGTTAAAAAGGATTCTCTATATAAATTGCACTTAAGTATTCTCTGTATCTTTATTTAGTACAGATCAGTACATATCAGTACAGATCTACCAATTGACCTTCAACCATTTCTCCTTCAAATATTTTTTAGGACAGTAAAAAGAAGTTTTTAAAGTATAGAAAAAGTTATTTGAATATTCTATCCAACAAGTTCTTGATTATTATATAATAAAGTCTAATAGTCTGTTTTATGTTAATACAATAATAAGGTCGTTGAACATCATAAAAATTGTTTACTATGCAAGAATATTAAATGTCTTGATATAAGTAGTTACCTGAAGAGTTTCAAATTGATTTGATAAATGAAACCAGATTTCGTCCATGTTTTACAAATAGCACGTTAATAATTGAAATTTAACGCAACATTGTACTTTTAACAATTTAGGTATTGTGCACAGTGGCCGATCAGCTGTAAATGCACTACGGTAGTGATATAAATAAACGATTAACACATTGCGTATACTCGAAATAGAATCTGTTTTAAAGTATGACAGCTTTTGGTGGATATCAAAATTTGCTACTTTGGATTTGTCACGTTCTTTGTTACTTTCCTTATCATCATTGTCTCTAACCATCAAGCATTCTACACAATTCCCATTACATCGTTTTGCGATAATTGTGACAGGTTAGTTTGCGTCGTGTACTTGGCGCAAATTTATTTGAGTTTTTCACATGATGTAACGGGTGGTTGTGCAATTGTTGTCACGTGATCTAACAATAACAGTGCCAACAACTTGTGGATTTAATATAATTCAATTAAAAGCCACAGATTTCTATACATGACATGTATATATGACCAGGTCATAGAGACAATGTACAATATGTATTTATGTACATATGTGGGTCTATTTCAATTTGTAGACAAATTCAGATAGATACATACATATTACTGTAACGTTGAAAATCCATAAATTTTGAAATGTACATCTGAAACGCACCAATCGTATAACGATGAAGCTTGGAAACAAGAGATTAAAACAACTTTAAGTTAAATTACCGTCTAGTTTATAAATTGATTAATATTAAACATTTTACACAGATTATGGTATTAATACCGTTATAATATGCGAATACTTTAATTCAATAAATATATTCTCACATCGAATTTTGAAAAATTAATTAAAATCGTAGAAATAGAGTATTTGATGCATCTTCAGTGGATTCCCGTATGCGTATAGGTATGCACATGCACTATAGTGTACGTATAGGTACAGAACACGTGTTTACGTACTGTGCCCATGTGGTTCTCGCGTTTAGAATTTAATGTGATTGTATAATATTTGTAATGCAAAATGGATAATAATTGTGATTTAATTAAAACTATCGAAGATGATGAAGACGTGCCAGATTATTCTGAAAATTCTGATACAGAAGATGATGTAAGATATTGTAATTTTTAGTAGAAACAGACAAAACTATAATCGATTTGTTGCTGTCAAATATTTGTATATCTAAACAATTTATTGTTATTGCAGTTTCAGCCACGAAAACAAAACCGGAAGAAAAATAAAGATTTCGACAGTAATTTTCAATTTATAAACGATATTTCGGAGTATAATAAAGACACATGGAATGATCTAAGCAAGTACATTAAACGGAAAGTAAAGACAAAGCTCGATGACAAAATTAAAAAGATTAGAAAAGAAACAGGGAATGAAGTATGTATAATAAATTAATTGTAAATTTAAACTTACCACATTACATATTACTATTTAGGTTATTAATGACAGTATCTGTGTAAATACGATTTCTATAATAAAGATGTATCGATTCACCCAAAAATCCTTAACAATTTCAAACGAATGTCCATCTATTAATATTTTCTATGTTTTATTTTTAGGAAGAGGATGAAAATTCTGTTGAAGATTTACCTAAAACTAATCAAGAAGATGATAGTGACATTTCTTTGTCAGAAGATGAACTTAAGAAAGGTATAACTAGATTTTGAGTATGTTGTATAATTTTATATTTAAATACATTTCTATATTTTATTATAGATGTGTTTAAAACCAGAGAGAGAAAAAGTAAAAAGAAGAAGGCTATTAAAGATGATGAGAAAGAAACGCTTAATTTTGAGGAGTACTCTAACTCTGAACCATATGCAACCTTTTACCAAATGAATTTATCACGACCTTTATTAAAGGTACATCTATTTTGTTCTTGAAACAAAAACTAGTAGTCAGTGTATCCACTCTTAATAATTAACTATATGTATATTTTATTACAGGCTATAACAGCTATGAATTTTGTACATCCAACACCTATTCAAGCTTCCACTATTCCAGTTGCATTAATGGGAAGAGATATATGTGGGTGTGCTGCTACAGGTACTGGTAAAACTGCAGCTTATATGCTTCCAACTCTAGAAAGATTATTGTATAGACCTCTAGATGGTCCAGCTGTTTCTAGAGTTCTTGTATTAGTACCAACAAGAGAACTTGGAGTTCAGGTATATCAAGTCACTAAGCAATTGTCTCAGTTTACAACGGTCGAAGTAGGCTTGTCTGTTGGTGGTTTAGATGTAAAAGTGCAAGTAAGTAATTAATTAAGCATCACATTTTAAAAATATATTAGAAAAATCAATCTTCACACCTGAAATATGAGAACATTCCCTAAAAACGTTTTTGTCTAAATAGGAAACTGTATTGAGAAAGAATCCAGATATTGTAATAGCTACACCTGGTAGATTAATTGATCATTTAAAAAATACACCTACTTTTTCACTAGACAGCATTGAAGTACTCATACTGGATGAAGCTGATAGGTAAATAAAGGCAAATGTTTTTCTTGCGATCACTTTGTAGGGAAATTGAAATTTTTGTATGATTTTTATTTTAGGATGTTAGATGAATACTTTGCTGAACAAATGAAGTACATAGTAAGTCAATGTGCAAGAACCAGACAGACTATTTTATTCTCTGCTACTATGACAGAAGAAGTGAAAGATTTAGCTGCTGTGTCATTAGACAAGCCAGTGAAAGTATTTGTAGATAGTAATCAGGATGTTGCCTTCAACTTACGCCAGGAATTTATTCGGTAATAAAATCAAATAATACTTGTATTTTATATTGTAAATAGATATAGTTCGCTAAATATAAATCAAAAATTATTTAACATATAGAATACGAAAAGAAAGAGAAGGAGATCGTGAAGCAATTTTGGCTGCTCTAATTTGTCGTACTTTCCACGATCATGCCATGGTTTTTGTACAGACAAAGAAACAAGCCCACAGATTACACATTCTATTGGGATTATTGGGTATAAAGGTACATGAAATGAATCTCGATTTATACGTAAAATTATTTTTACATAATTATATTATAGACGTCTGACTGTTTTACATTGTAGGTTCAAGAACTTCATGGCAATCTTACACAACCGCAACGCTTAGAAAATTTAAGAAAATTCAAAAATGAAGAAATTGATATTTTATTAGCAACAGATGTTGCTGCAAGAGGTTTAGATATTAGTGGCGTAAAAACAGTAATTAATTTTGTTATGCCAGCTACTATGCAACATTATATACATAGGTATCCACGTATTGTTTATATATATACATACATATATGAGAATTAGGTCTTTATGATATAATTTATTTACCAGAGTTGGAAGAACTGCTAGAGCTGGTCGAGTTGGAGTGTCAGTATCATTGGCTGGGGAACAGGAACGTTCTTTAGTTAAAGATATTATTAAAAACGCTAAAAATCCAGTAAAAAATCGAATAATACCGCCAGACATTATTGAAAAGTACAATAAAAAATTACAATCACTTGAGCCTGATGTAGAGAAGATATTAGAGGAAGAAAGAAACGAAAGAGAATTAGCTAAAATAGAAAATCAAACAAATCGTGCCGAGAAATTTCTTAAAAATGTTAATAATAAAGCTGAACAAAGAAGTTGGTTCCAAACTCAAAGAGAGAGGAAAGAAGAAAAAGGTTTGTCGTAAAAGTCATTGTAATTGTTAAAAAATGTTGAATTTTTCTGTTTGCTAAATATAACAATAAAATAAACAACGCTTTTAGAAAAATTATCATTAACGGAAAAAGAGCCGAAAAGCAAAACCAATAAAAAGCAAAATAGGGAGCCCAGGAATATTGTTGAAGAGAAAAAGAAGAAAGTACCCAAAGAACCAAAGAAGGAAACAGCTGAAGATAGAGCAAGGAATGAATTAGACAAGATTGCAGCATACCAAGCGAGATTAGCTAAAAAAAAAAGTAAACAGAAAAAGATTCGGACGGTTATGGATGATGATAGATCTGCAACTAATAAGAGAGGTATATTATAACAAAATCTCAATTTTGTATTTAAAAGTTTAATGTTACTTTTAATATAATATTGTTTATGTTTTAGTTGGTCTAAAACGACCGAAATCTTCATTTGTTGCCGACTTAACGGATACAAGTAAAAAAGCTGTAAAGAGAATGCGTTATGAGTAAGTATACTGTGTTTCACAATATTCAATATTTATAATAAAATGTTATGTATTCCCATGTTACAGTTCTAAATACATTTATTGTATCAATTTTAGGACAAATGTTAAGAAAAAGCAAAGTAAAACGAAAGGTGGACAAAAATTCAGCGGAGGAAAAAAGGACAGCAGAAAAACTTTTGGAAAACGTTAAGATGAATTTTTATATCTGTAACTACATCTTATTAAATACATACCATTTTACTTAATTTGTTTTATTATAGAACCGTTACAATGCGTCACTTACGTCTCACAGATTGACAGATGAATAGCACTGAGTAATTGGTTTTTTTCATCAGAATATGTATACTTCATAGTCTATAACCTGTTTGAAAAAATTGCAGTACTATGCAATTGAATATCTGCAAAAACAGATATTACTAAAATACTATAAAATACAAGGTAGTACATTGCAAAAACGTTTAAATTTATCAATTGCATTGAAAAACGTTAAATGACATTTCATCGAGTTTAGACAGTAACAATGCATTTA